TGGCGGCACCGGAGTGGTCGGGGGCGCCGGCGGACGTGTCCGGTTAGGCGGCGGACATGTCCGTCGGTGGCTGGGAGCTGTTTTTTTTAAACTAGGGTTTGAGACGAGGGGATCCGGGATTTGGAGGAGGGGGTCTATATATAGGCATAGAGGGAGCTAGGAGAGTCCAAATGAGGTGCGGTTTTCGCCCACACGATCGTGATCGAACGCTCTAGGACATGGAGCAGAGTTTGGTGGGTTTTGGGCCAAATTTGGGGGGTGTTGGGCTGCAACACACATGAGGCCTTTCCGGTCCCTCGGTTAACCGTTGGAGTATCAAACGAAGTCCAAATGACCCGAAACTTGACAGGCGGTCTACCGGTAGTAAACCAAGGCCGCTTGGCAAGTCTCGGTCCAATCCGGAAATGTTTAAACCCCACACACGAAAGAAGACTAGAAATGACCACCGGAGGAGAACGAAGCGCCGGAATGCAAAACGGACAACGGGGAAAATGCTCGAATGCATGAGATGAACATATATGCAAATGCAATGCACGAGATGACATGGTATGAGATGCATGAAAACGAAAACAACACACGGAGACAAGGACCCGAACCCGAGAAATAAATATAACTTGACACCGGAACGGCAAGAGTTGGAGTACAAATGGGGAAAGTTACATCTGGGGCGTTACACTGCATAAAATAGATTTTCAATGTCGGTGAACTTAGGTATTCCAGAACGGCAACGATAAAATTGTGACGACAACACCTCGGAGCTCAACTCCCCGAGACACCGCCACAACCCCTAAATGTTAGGAGGCACCAAGAACAATGTTCTCATCACAAGAATATCAGAACGATCCCAAGATACCCGCGTGATCCTAATTTTTTTAGTGCAAATGAGGAGAGGAAAGTCAAAACATCTACGTCAGGAGAGACCTCACTAGAGCGATGAAGGGGGCTGAGGAGTAAAAAGAATCCTACTCTCCAATATATATATATATTCCTAAGACTCAAAATAGTTTGCTTCTAGACTCAACAACGGCAGCAGTTCGATCAATCAAGGGGGCTCCTAAGGTCGGTAAGGCTATGATACCAACTTGTAGCGCCCAACATGCGATTCTATCCCAATCACGTGATGAACTCATGATTCGGGCACAACCGCATTTCGAGCGCATAGCAAGGTCGATATCATTACAACATACCATATACTTGATAGATGAGAATACAAGATAAAGGCTTACACTCGCCACAAGTTACAACATTCATACAACAATACATCAATAAATAACAACCATCATACATAAGAGCAGGATCCGACTACGGATGAAATCAAACGAAAAAGAAGAACGACGTCCACCCTGCTAGCCCAGGCTCCCCCGACCTGGAACATATCCCTTGAACAAAGAATAAGAAGCAGAAGAACTCCAAATCAAGCAAGCATCTCTCTCACATCAGATCATCGCATTACCTGTACCTGCAACTGTTGTTGTAGTAATCTGTGAGCCACAGGACTCAGCAATCCCATTACCATGGGTATCAATACTAGCAAAGCTTAATGGGTAAGGAAGGGTGGTGAGGTTGCAGCAGCGACTAAGCAATGTATGGTGGCTAACTTATGAGTACAAGATTAAGATGAGAAACTACACAATGGTCATGAACTAGTAATGATCAAGAAGTGATCTTGAACTACTTACGTTCAAACATAACCCAACCGTGTTCTCCTCTCGAACTTCCCCGAGAAGAGACAATCATGGTTACAGATGCGGTTGGTGTATTTTAATTAAGTTTACTTCAAGTCCTCTACAACCAGATATTAACAAAGTCCCATCTGCCACATAACCGCGGGCATGGCTCTCAAAAGTTTAAACCCTGCAGGGGTGTCCCAACTTAGCCCATGACAAGCTCACGATCCGCGGAGACAATCCCCCATCGCGGGGCACCCGAGCAGACTCGGAATCCTAGTGCACAAGACATTTCGACAATGGTAAAATAAAACCAGCAAGACTGTTCGATGTGTCGACAAATCCTGATAGGAGCTGCACATATCTCATTCTCAGGGCACACCGGATGGGACAAGCTATGAGTAAAACCAACCCTCGAGTTTCCCCGAGGTGGCCCCGTAGGCTGCTCGGTTCGGACCAACACTCAGAGGAGCATTAGCCCGGGGGGTTGAATTAAGAAATCCTCGGGGTCCAGAAAGTCCCTAGGCAAGTTTTAGTTGTTATTAGTGTCGGATGTGGGGTTTCGGCAAACCCTTAAGGTTCAAACACTGGGGTGCGCGTGAAGTCTTTTCCTCCCACGATCTACGCCCTAGCTCGCTAAGATCTCGGGGACGAACTCGACGAACTCGCAACACGGAAAGACACAAGATTTATACTGGTTCGGGACACCGTTGTGGTGTAATACCCTACTCCAGTGTGGTGGTGGTGGATTGCCTATTGGGCTGATGATGAACAATACAAGGGGAAGAACAGCCTATTGAGGTTGAGGTGTTCTTGTGCTTGGCTAACTTGTATGTGTGGGGATGATCTTCAGGCTCTCTCTCTCCCTCTCTCTGTCGTCGTCTGTTGTCTGTCGTCTCCCCTACCTATGGTGGTGGCTAGTCCTATTTATAAAGGCCCTGGTCCTCTTTCCAAATATTGAGCGGGAAGGGAGCCAACAAGGCGGGCTAATTTGAAGGGGGACAACTAGTACAAGCCATTCTGACAAAAGTGGTCTTCGCCTGCCAAAGGCTCTGGTGGTGACGCCATCTTAGGCTCCACGACGACCTCCGTCTTGCCGTCCTTCTGGTCTTGGTCTTGTGGCATCGATATGGCAACCTTTGCCTGATGCCTTGGTACTCCTCGCCTGCGTTGGCCTCCTTAGCACCAAAGAGGAAACAAGGATGTTGCACACACTGGCGCCCGCCTGGTGTTGATCGTCATGGCTCAAGTGACGAGAGCCTCGTGAGGTTTGCCTCGCCTTGATATCTCCGCTCCTTGTGAGCCTGCCCGACTAGGCCACTCCAGAGGAGGTCTTGTGTCGTCCGCCTCGCGAGGGTCTTGGATGCCTCATTGATGAAGATGGGCCGTACGGCCTGCTGGCTTAGCCACGCAGCCGGCCGCAGGCAGGCAAGTCTGGGGACCCCTGTTCCCAGAACGCCGACAGTTAGGCAAATGGTAAAACCAATGTTGGGCCTTGCTGGAATAGTTTTATTCAAAGAGAACTGTCAAGAGGGTCCCATACCCCTCACCATGTTACGAACGCAAAATCAAGGAACATAACATCGGATTGACAGAAACTAGGGCGGCAAGAGTGGAACAAAACACCAGGCAAAAGGCCGAGCCTTCCAACCTTTACCAAGTATATAGATGCATTAATTAAATAAGAGATATTGTGATATCCCAAGAATATCCATGTCCCAACATGGAACAACCTACAAGTACACCTGCAACTATCAACGCTATAAGAGGGGCTGAGCAAAGCGGTAACATAGCCAAACAACAGTTTGCTAGGAAGGGTGAAAAAGGTTAGAGGCTATCATGGCAATTTGGAAGGCTTGATAAACAAGTGGTAGGTAGTGCGACATAGCGATAGCATCGAGAAACTAGCATAGCAAAGATAGTAATGAGATCCAAGGTGATGGTCATCTTGCCCGAGATCCCGCTAGGAAGAAGATCGAATTCATGAAGAAGACGAACGGGCGTAGTCGAACGAATCCTCACACTCGCAATGAAACCAGACTATCGAGAAGAAGCACAACCGGAAATAAGCAAACAACATAGTAAACAAACAACACTTAAACATGGCATGATGCATAATCAAGTATGATGCATGTCCGGTTTAAAGAGGCATGTCATGTCACAGAGCATCAAACAATACTACAAATTAAGTGGAGCTCAATATGCAATGAGTTGCATATCGACGAAACCCCACATTCCAAATGTTTATTTCGCTCCCGTTTATGCTACTTCTCAAAATTAAATGTTGGTTAACATGGCAAGAGGTGAAACCTGATAAAATTACCTATCTAGGCAAGTTTAAATGAGGCTGGAACAACAAACAATAATTCCGGAAAACCTCATGTTATTTAGTAGTTTAATGCAAACACAATTTTTAAGCACTTAAATGTTGTTATCACGATGCAGATGACATATACAAGTTTTATGAAAATGTTGACATAATATGATATGAGGCATTTGTCACCGTGGTGGAAAGAAAGTGTGCCACGGCAACGAATCCGAAAATGATGCCACGGCAACATATCGGTTCCGGTAACTCGATTGAGATACCGATGCAAAAGAGAAGTGTGTGGATGTGTGGAACAGGCAAGAGATGGTGGGGTGCTCCCATTTACCGGGTTCCCATGGGTCGATGGCTGTGTCAAACGAGGGAACAACTAACGTTCACGGGCGGATACAACATCCAAACATGCATCTCATACAACACATGCATTCGTTCACTGGTCACCATCTCGGCGGTTATACCTTCGAAGCGTGCAAACGGGACGGTTCAGGTTCTGTGCAATGTAGAGGAAGTAGACGTTCTCGGGATGGTCGTAGTGGAAGTAGTGGTACACGGGGACGGTAGTGGAAGTAGTGATACACATTTTCATAGAGGGTCTTGACGAATCCGAGTAACTTGGGGTCGACGGTGGTCGTTCACGTTCATAGTCGCACAAGTTTCTGTAGATGTTCGGGGTCACAACGAGGAACTCGGCATTTCGGTGCGGTACTTGCCATCGGTAGTCGAACTTGGCAGTCCGGAGGGGGTACTTGGTGAATCCACATAATCATACACGGGTCTTGTCGGATCCATAGAGACGGGAACTTGGCGCATCACTGGACTTGGCGATCTTGATGAATTGAAGGAGCATCGCGGGACTTGCTGGTCCCTGCCTCGGGGGGTCTCCGGAGACGTGTGGAGGCAGCTCGAGCTACTGGTTGTTGGCGCATGGCCAAGCAGCGGCTGGAAGAAGTGGCCGACGTCGGCCTTGGCATGAAACAGGGAAGCGGCGGCGAGGGCACCACAACAGCATGGCAAGGAGGCAATGCTACTCGGGGTCGAGATGCAGGGCACACCAGAGGTTGGAGGCGGCACGGAGGAAGGAGAAGGACGGCCGCTGGGCTTGGGGAGTTGTCGAACTTGCTGGATCTGGCGGGGTCCTAGTGGGGCTTGAGGTGACGGAGCTCCGGCGGGGTCGAGCGTGGCCGAAGGAGGATCGACAGGGCAGCCAAGGAAGCAGGGCCAATGCTCCCACGACATGGCAGCGAGGAGGTAGAGGGGTGTCGGCGTTGAGGAGGTCGGGCGACGGGAGGACCTCCGGTGGCGGTGGAGCTAGGGCTCACCGGAGCAGGGGGTCGCGGGCGCCATGGCAAGGTCGAGGCGGCGGAGGTCGGACATGGGCACCGGGCCACTGTAGATGACCCTTTCAGGCGGCGTAGGAGGCTAGGCGCGATGCCATGGGGAGGCGCCGGCGTGGAGGAGGCGGCGCTCGACGGCGGGGCTAGCATCGAGGAGACAGGGCGGCATCGGGCGTAATGCGGTCGGGAGGAGGACGAGGGAAGGAGAGGCGGCGAGCGAGGGAGATAAGGAGGAGATCGGGTGAGGGTTAGGTTTAGGAGTGGGCCGCGAGGATGGTCCAAGTGCCATGGGGGTTTGGTGGGCCTAGGGAGGCAGGCCTAGGCTGGGCCTCTCTCTCCCTCTCTCTTATTTCTTCACTCTATTTCAAAGAAACAGAAACTTGGAAGAAATGCTGAGAGAGATTGGAGTGGAGTTTGGGCATGAAGTTAATTTTCTTGGACTCATAAAAATGAGCTTGATCCAGGAAAAATGGAAATGAACATGTGGGTGAAGTTTGAATCGAACTCATTTGAATTTAATTCAAATGAGTGTGAGAAGGAAGTGGGTATTCGGTAGGTCCAAAAATGTTGAGAATTTGGGAGGAGCCTCGATAAAACGATAAAAGAATATGAGGACAAGTCGGAGACCAAGAATTGAGATAACAAAGGCATTGGGATTTATTTGCAAGTTTGTCAAAGGTAATTCCACATCAATGGAATATTTTATAATAGCTCCATAATTATTAGGAGGATATGTTATAAAGAGAAATCACCATGTGAATTCCCTCGATTTAAATAGATCAAAAGATCTATGCAATTTATTTAGTTGAGTTTTAAAAAATTAAATGACATGATGCGATGCAAAAAAAAAGCTATGAAAAAAGGAACAAACAAACAAGTCACACGGTGAAAATTGGAATAGCTGGAAGTCTTTTGGAGCGCTGGTCTTGGGGTGTCACAAGAGTCAATAATCTATTTCACATCACCATATGATTTAACACCAACAGTTCACATCTTTATGTGATTAGCACCCGTAGTTCACATCGCCATGTGATCAACACCCAAAGGGTTTACTAGAGTCAATAATCTAGTTCACATTTCCATGTGATTAACAAGCAAAGAGTACTATGGTGTGATCATATTTTGCTTGTGCGAGAGGTTTAGTCAATGGGCCTGCCACATTCAGAACCGTATGTATTTTGCAAATTTCTATGTCTACAATGCTCTGCATGGAGCTACTCTAGCTAATTGCTCCCACTTTCAATATGTATCCAGATTGAGATACTGAGTCATACAGATCAGTGTCAAAGCTTGCGTCGATGTAACCCTTTACGCCAAACTCTTTGTCACCTCCATAACCGAGAAACATTTCCTTAGTCATCTTAGGTAACTAAGGATAATCTTGACCACTGTCCAGTGATCTACTCCTGGATCACTATTGTACCCCCTTGCCAAACTCATAGCAAGGTACACAATAAGTTTGGTACACAGCATGGCATACATTATAGAACCTATGGCCGAGGCATAGGGAATGACTTTCATTCTCTCTCTATCTTCTGTTGTGGTCGGGTTTTGAGTCTCACTCAACTTCATACCTTGTAACACAGGCAAGAACCTTTTTCTTTGACTAATACATTTTTGAACTTCTTCAAAACTTTGTCAAGGTATGTGCTTTGTGTAAGTCCTATCAAGCGTCTTGATCTATCCCTATAGATCTTGATGCTCAATATATAAGCAGCTTCACTGAGGTCTTTCATTGAAAAACTCCTATTCAAGCATCCTTTTATGCTATCCAGAAATTCTATATCATTTCCAATCAACAATAAGTCATCCACATATAATATCAGAAATGCTACAGAGCTCCCACTCACTTTCTTGTAAATACAGGCTTCACCATAAGTCTGTATAAAACCATATTCTTTGATCACCTCATCAAAGCATATATTCCAACTCCGTGATGCTTGCACCAGTCCATAGATGGATCGCTGGAGCCTGCACACTTTATTAGTACCTTTAGGATTGACAAAACCTTCTGGTTGCATCATATACAACTCTTCTTTAAAAATCCATTAAGGAATGCAGTTTTGACATCCATTTGCCAGATTTCATAAAATGTGGCAATTGCTAACATGAGTCAGACAGATTTAAGCATCGCTACGAGTGAGAAAATCTCATCGTAGTCAACTCCTTGAACTTGTTGAAAACCTTTCGCAACAAGTCAAGCTTTGTAGGTAGTAACATTACCATCAGTGTCAGTCTTCTTCTTGAAGATCCATTTATTCTCTATGGCTTGCCGATCATCGGGCAAGTCAACCAAAGTCCACAGTTTGTTCTCATACATGGATCCTATCTCAGATTTCATGGCCTCAAGCCATTTTACGGAATCTGGGCTCATCATCGCTTCCTCATAGTTCGTAGGTTCGTCATGGTCTAGTAACATGACTTCCAGAACAGGATTACCATATCACTCTGGTGCGGAACGTGCTCTAGTTGACCTACGAGGTTCGGTAGTAACTTGATCCGAAGTTTCATGATCATTATCATTAGCTTCCTATCTAGTTGTTGTAGGCATCACAGGAATGGTTTTCTATGATGAACTACTTTCCAATTCGAGAGAAGGTACAATTACTTCATCAAGTTCTACTTTCCTCCCACTCACTTCTTTCGAGAGAAAATCATTCTCTAGAAAATCATTCGAATCTGTGATAGAAGGTGTACCAAACAATTTCTTTTGGCTATCCTATGAAGACGCACTTCTCCGACTTGGGTTCGAGGTTACCAGGCTGATGCTTTTTCACATAAGCATCACAACTCCAAACTTTAAGAAACGATAGCTTAGGTTTCTTGCCAAACCACGGTGTCATCTCAACGGAATTAGATGGTGACCTATTTAACGTGAATGCAGCTGTCTCTAATGCATAACCCTAAAATGATAGTGGTAAATCGGTAATAGACATCATAGGTCGCACCATATCTATAAAGTATGGTTACGCCGTTCGGACATACCATTACGCTGTGGTGTTCCAGGTGGCGTGAGTTGTGAAACTATTCCACATTGTTTTAAATGAAGGCCAAACTCGAAACTCAAATATTCATCTCCGTGATCATATCGTAGAAACTTTATTTTCTTATTACGATGATTCTCCACTTCACTCTGAAATTCTTTGAACTTTTCAAATGTCTCAAACTTGTGTTTCATTAAGTAGGTATACCCATATCTTCTCAAATCATCTGTGAAGGTCAGGAAATAACGATACCCGCCGCGAGCCTCAACACTCATCGAACAGCATACATCGGTATGTATTATTTCCAATAAGCCAGTGGCTCACTCCATTGTTCTGGAGAAGGGAGTTTTAGTCATCTTGCCCAAGAGGCATGGTTCACAAGCATCAAATGATTCATAATCAAGTGATACCAAAAGTCCATCCGCATGGAGTTTCGTCATGCGCTTTACACCAATATGACCTAAATGGCAGTGCCACAAATATGTTGCACTATCATTATCAACTTTGCATCTTTTGGCATCAATATAATATGTGTTTCACCATGATCGAGATTCAATAAACCATTTATATTGAGTGTATGACCATAGAAGGTTTTATTCATGTAAATAGGACAACAATTATTCTTCGACTTAAATGAATAACCGTATTGCAATAAACATGATCCAATCGTATTCATGCTCAACGCAAACACCAGATAACATTTATTTTAGGTTCAACACTAATCCCGAAGGTAAAGGGAGTGTGCGATGGTGATCTTATCAACCTTGGAATCACTTCCAACACACATCGTCACCTCGCCCCTAACTAGTCTCTGTTTATTTTGCAACTCCTGTTTCGAGTTACTACTCTTAGCAACTAAAGCAGTATCAAGTATCGAGGGGTTGCTATAAACACTAGTAAAGTACACATCAATAACATGTATATCAAATTGTAGCGACCAGACCTCAAACGGTCCAATCTCTGTGCTCCGGTGTCATCCCTGGATTAATAATGCTGACACCACACATTACTTGAAGGATTTATAACAGAGTAGCAATCACACACTTATTACATCGAGGGTCTCAAAAGAGAACTTATTACAATAAATATGGCTTAAGGCCATCTAATAACGATAACAGCGGAAGGCTTGGAAGATAAGTGAGTCCATCAACTCCAACGGCATCACTGAGTATAGAACCACGACCGAAAACTCCTTAATCATTGTCTGAAAAGTCTGCAACATTAACGTTGCAGCCCGAAACGGGTCAGCACATGGAATATGCTGGCAATGTAACACATAGAGAGTAATGGAATGAAACAACTATTCTATATGCATATTTGGCTGGTGGAAAGCTCTATGGTTACAGTTTTGCGCAAAGCCAATTTTTCGCTACTGCAAAGGAATAAATTTATTTAACTATCATGGTGGTTGTTAAACATTGAGAATGGTTGACAGCATTCTCAATCCCAATTAAGCATCATCATTAAACAAAACCCAACAAAATTAATTTTTTTAGTAACATGTTGAGATTCACATGATAATCTAGGTACTAGATACTCAAGATGTCCATAACCGGGGACATAGCTAACCATGATTAGTTTATACACTCTGCAGAGGTTTGTGCACTTTTCCCCACAAGACTCGATCGCCTCCGTTTGGTTTCTCGCACTACATGGTGTTTGAGAAGACGGATGACCGAGACATAGTCTTTCAGAAGCGCTAGCACCTTACGATGTGTAGATCGTACCACCTACATCCCCTACATCTGCTAGTCTACCACTGTAAGAGTTTGCACGACTTAGTCAACTATGCTAGAGCCCATAATAGCTTTTGGCTGCACACGGAAGTTTCTAGCATGAATAATCTCATGATCCCTTTGAACCTGGGTGGCGGTCCATAAAGAGAAACAGGCAATCCTGGAATACCCAGGTACCTCAATCCACCCAGATGTGTGTTTAAGTTGCCACCTTAAATAAACCATTAATTAACAATCTCACATATGTCATGGATACACTCACCCAATCCACGTCTACTAGCATAGCATGGCAATAAGCAACGTAGAAGTAACTCCCAAAGTTTGATAATTAAACAGGTAATAGGTACTACCTCAACTACTTCCCAAACCCATAATTTAATTAGATCCTAATCATGCAATGTGTAAGGATTGATCTAATGCAATAAAACTGGGTAGTAGGAGGTATGATCAAAGTGTTACTTGCCTTGCAGATGATCCGGGAAACCTAGCGATTCGAAGTAACAGGCGGCGCACTCCGGGTACTCTATCGCAAACAAACAAGCATACAATAAGTACTCAACTAATGCACAGGTAAAACTCAAATAAGAGATCTAACCAGAAGGTTCAACTTAAGAACTCCGGTGGCAAAAGAATCAAATCGAACGAAGCAACGAAAGACAAACGGCAAAAGAAACAGGCTTCGTTTACTATTCTGGATCTAAGGCAATTTTTACAGTGGCAAAAACTTGTTTGAGTTGGTTAAACGGAAAGAGGGTTTCGAGACGAAACTCCAGACGCTTGAATCGCCTGATTCCGATAAACGAGCGAAAAGTTAAACTAAAACAAAAATCGGATCA